AAATGTGATTTAATTAGCTATTTTCTAAGATATACAAACACTTCGCTTTTATTAGGTAGTTGACTACCCCAAACCCGCAATTTTTGGAATTCGCTCGATGCTCTCTATAATTTTTAATTGTGTCGTTTTTTCTCAACCCTGGGTCCTTCAACTCCCCTCCTGAGCCTCCTCCCCCGCTTCCCCCACCCCACTCCCAAAAACGCCTGGCCCCGGTTCCCGTATTTCGAGCCGTGACCAACCAGAAAACAGTTTTCTTCCACTAATCCGGAACTCCGGGCTGTTACCAACGCTATCATTGGCCAGCGTCAGTCCTTGGTACGTGCCCCAAGATAACCTCCCGGTTTCTTTCCCCTTTTCCCCCTACAATAGGCCTTCTCCGATGTTTGTAACAAATTCACAAGCCGCAATACGGCACCTCTGATAACCAACACGCATTCTTCAAAGTTTTCGGGTGGAAACAAGCGAGGCCAAAGAGAGGGCAATGTACCCTTTCTCTGCCTCGCAGGGAGGGGGGAAGGGGCAGTCGATCTTGGGCTAGGCACAGAGCTCTAGAACGGCGTAGGCTGAGAGGTCGGGGGCGGATTGGGGGGAAAAGGTGGGGAAGGAGTGGAGAAAGAGTTGGATTAAGTTGAAATAAAAACTTCACTCACCAGATCCTCAAAGCTTCTCCGGTGCTCTTTCCCTTCCCAGTCCAAGCGCCGCGGAATCAGCTGGGGGCCGGAGAAAAAGAAAGGGAGAGGGGGGCAAACGATAAAGGCGAAGCTTCCACTCCTCATCAACCCAACTCAGCCTGGGTCCCAGTCCTCGACTCTATTAAGTCTTTATTTCCCTTGGCCCGATAGCTATAGCCTCAGAGCTAGACGGGTGCGGGGGGGGGGGCGGTTGGGGGCAGAGATAAGTAGAAGGAAATGCTGAAAAATCGCCTCCCAAAGACATGAAGAGTGGGCAAGTTAAGACATAAGCGTTGTCCACCTTTTTGAGGGAAGAAGCCGGTTCACCCCATAACAACAGCTGTGGGTGCCCAGATCTAAGCCTCCCTCTCGGCGTGTGCCCTCCGCCCCTGACTTACCCTCCCCTTCCACCAGTCTCACCCCAACCCTCCCCACCCCTTCCCGAAGGGGCTTCGTACCTGATGCTCCTCGAGCTCCTGCACTAGCACCTAAGCAAAAGGGAAACATGGATATGAGGAGCAGCTCGAGCCATCAACACGTTCCTCCCTCCCCACTTCGAATCCAGCCTCTGACGGTAGGGACTAGTCAAGGCCGGCCCTTCCGTCACCCTCAGCAGAACGGCTCACCCACTGCCTCGATTTCCCCATTGAGACCACTCCCACCGACTCCCAGCTCTCCTTCTCCCCCTCACCTGAGCGGATTTGTTGCAGGGTCCGGACTGCAAGAACCTAGCGATCAGGTAATACAGCTCTGAGAGAGAGGGGAAAAAGAGGTTGAGAGGGAGGCAAAGAGAAATAGCAGCTTTTTAAAAAGAAACTGACAGCCCTCACGCTAAGCCCCCACCCCCTTAGCCCACAGACACAGCTACCCACCAGCTTCGATCTGGGTAGGAGCCGCCGCCATCCTTTCCCGAGGGGGTTTGGGGGCTTCGCTCTGGAGGGGCTGGCGAGGGGTGGGCTGCCTCTATTGTGGTGAAGCCCCCATGCCCAAGACTCCCGCCGCTTCCGCCGTACTCCTCGTCCCAGTTTCGGTCTTTCCTGGATTCATCGCATCACGTTTCGACCCATAGATATTCTAGCCCAAGAGCTGAGGAGGCGGAGGAGGAAGGAGAGAGAGCGAGACAGAGAGAGAGAGGAGGAGGGAGGGGTCGAAGTGGCGGAGGGGGGTAGGAGGGGAGAAAGGGGAGGGGTAAAATGGTAAGAGGAGCCTGTAGCACTCGTTGTTCGCCGCCTGGGGCGCTAACTCAGCGGCTTGGCCTCCGCCCTCCCAGACGGCCTACTGTTGCCTAGGTGATGCGCAGAGGAAGGAGGAGGCTTTTAAGGGCGTTGGACGCTCTGGCAACCGCCAACTCTGTGGTGACGTTCCTTCAAGGAGTTTCCGAGTCAGTCGCTCTTCCTGTGAGGGCAGTGAGGCCACTTCCGGTTGAGGACTCGGCCTCCTGAAGTGAACTTGAAGAACTTTGTGAGGGTCTGACTTGACTCAGCGGCTTTCTCTTTTTTTTTTCTCGGGGAGCCAAAGCGGTTTTGTTTTGTTCTAATTTTTTCCCTCCCCCTCGAAAAGGAGGCTAGCCACTAGAGGGTTTTGTGCCTGAGGGAAGTAATGGAGCGCTTATTTCGTTGTCACTTTTCTTTAAAATCATTTTTCTACCAAATGAAAATACCTTACCAGTCTAGAGCCAAAACCAAAAACCCACTGCCATCCAGTTGACACAGACTCATAGAGACCCTATAGGATAGAGTAGAACTGCCTAAAACTGTTTCCAAGGCTATAAATCTTCACAGAAGCTGACTGCCTCATCTTTCTCCCTCAGAGCTGCTGGTGGGTTGGATCCACTGACCTATTGGTTAGCAGCTGACTGCTTTAACCACTGTGCAACCAGACCTCCCTCCAATCCAGAGCATGGGTCTCATTTTGTTAAAAAGAAAGACTATTTCTAAAAATTTCCACTGTTTCTGATAAATACTGCATATGAAATTTTTACTCAGTCATAAAGCATTTTATATTTTCCCCATCTAAAAGTTTAACACATACCATATTCTATTCCTATCGGAAAATTCTATATTGTGTTTTCAAATACTGTCAAAGTAGTTTACATTAACCAAGTATTTTTACATATTTCATATGTTTATGCATGGGACTAGAGGTTCAGGACTATATTTGTTTACATCCTGAAACTCTTACTACAATGTCAACTTTCAGTACTTGGTTACTAAGATCTCCAGTGATCAGAGTTTATAGAATAATTGACAAAGATAGAGTAATCTGGGTCTCTTTCTTTTTCTACTTTATCTTAAATGTTCTCACCCCAAGCCTTGACCAAAAGAAGTAATTAATAGAAGCTGAAGCTGATGAGACTAGAAAAGTTAAAGCTGCATTTTTTATATTAAAACATTCAAATTTGAAGTTTCACCTACCTTTATTGCTGTATTCTTAATAATTTAGTTACCTCACTCACTACTCAGCCATTGACCACCATGGACCTAGAATTCCATTATGCTACATAAACCTGGTTATCTCTCCCTCTGGCCATTTTTTTTCCCTTCAGCAAAAACCTTACACATGGTAATTATAAAATGATTGGTTTATCTTTGGTTGTTATGCAATGGTATTTCATAAAACAAATGTCATTACTGGAAAAGAAAAGATATAGCAAATATATCTAAACCATAGCCAACTCATTACATGTAGTTTAGCAATACAGCAGACTATATGAATAATTTCTACAGTTCAAGTTTGATGTGTATAACAATTAACATTAGTCAAGCATTTACCATATGCTAGCACTTTACATACTTCACTTCATTTAACCTTTTCAGTAATCCTAGGAGGTAGATTTTCTTATTATCCCCATTTTACAGATGATAAAAATGGCTATGACCTTGCAGTTAAATTATGTGAGCCTTGTTCCTCATTTGTAAAATGTGACTAATAATGCTTGCCATGCCCACTTCACATGCAATGCTGTAAAACCATGTGAGAATATATTTGTATCATATTTAAAGTCTGTTTGCCATTGTTATTCCAGTGATCACTTCTGTATCAATCTGAGTGCAATCAGAGCAAAAAATCACAAAATAATTTGAACAGGAAAAGTTTAAGATAAGCAATTATTAATGATAGCAGGAGAGCTGAGTGATGAGGGATTAGCTAGTGAGAAGTAAAGAGAATTCTGAAGAACATAAGAATGTTGTTGTCCTTAGGTGCCACCGAGTCAGCCCTGACTCAAAGCAATCCCATGTACAACAGAATGAAATACTACCCAGTCCTGCACCATCCTCACAATCCTTGCTATGCTTTAGCCTATCATTGCAGCCACTGTGTCAAAACATCTTGTTGACCAGCTTCCCCTTCTTTGCTGACCCTTTACTTTATCAAACATGATATCCTTCTCCAGGGAATGGTCCCTTCTGACAACATGACCAAAGTGGGTAAGACGAATATAGGAATAGAAGATACATAATAGATATAATACCCAACACCTCTAGATGAAGTTCTCTGGGTAGTACAAGCAGCTTGCAATTGGCTACTAACCTGAAGATTGGCAGTTCAAACCCACCTAGCAGTGCCACTGAAGAAAGTCCTGGCCATCTGCTTCCATAGAGATTACAGGGGAAAAAAAAGGAGTTCTCTGTAATACATGGGGTCATCATCCTTCAGAATGGACTCAACAGCAACGGATCACCCCTATAAGTGAGATGGAGCACCTACCACCCCCACTTTCTCCCCAGGACTGAGGTGTAGACCTTGTTAGAGAGGCCACAGCCAATCAAGGCTCATTCAGTGCAAGAAAGATGCTGTGGTGTCTTGAAGACAGAATTTGCTGGATTGGAACTTTCTAGAACCCTCTGAAACTTAGTAGAAACCCACCCTCTGGAATCCATCTGGAAAAGATGTTCACAGGAAGGTGTCTCTCACCAAAGGTACTCTATTACAAAACCACCAAAGGGAGGGTGCTAGAGGAAGCCACTGGCTACTGGGTGCTGATGATACCATATCCCATAGCATCTGGGTACTGGAGAAGGCTGAAGGAACTGGGCACTGAAGAAGCAGCTATTTAGAAATAGCCTGCCCAGTGAGCAGCACACCAGAAATAGGAAGAAAAATACTTTCTTTATCCACTCTTTCCAGTGTCCTCTATTCACAAAGCATCAGTGCTAGCTGGCAAAAGGAAAAACATTTAAATGGCCCACAGCCATTGTCAGAGTATTTAGTAAAGGCAAATTCAGAGATGAGAAGTTGTCAATAAAGGAGTACAACTTCCTCTGTTTTCTTGGCCATAATGAATAGATAAAATGTGGATGCTTACACACAATGTTATTTGTTGTTTAGCTTAATGCTCTGAAGTGTTTTGTCGTAATTAAAGTCATCAACCTTAATCTTGTGGACAAAGGCTTAATTGAGAGGGAAGGACAAATTTCATAAATGACAACAAAAGTAGATTTAGGTAGGAAAAATCTGGAATGTTTACTCAGTAGGATATCCTAGTAAAAAAAAAAAAAATACAAGTCTGTTTAAAGTAAAAACAGCAGAGTTTTATTAATGGTAGAAAGGCATTTTGCAAAATGGGGAACAAAGAGCCAACCAGCCCTGGCAATGTGCTCTGAAAACCTTACTATTACAAAGGTTAATAAAGGTAAAAAACACAAATAGGAGGGTGTATTTGCAGTATTTTCTAATTGGATAACATTTGTAAAGCTTCAGGTATCAGAATGTCAGTTGACAACCTTTTGCAGGAGTCAACCTCCTTTGCAAAAGGGGACTTCAGGTGACAAGATTACAAATTCTTAGAATAAATTTAAAATTACAAGTATTTTCTAAGTACAAATCATATGTAAAAATTTTAAAAAGGTGAAAAAGACATTATCGTTAGGGAGGGTCTGAAATCACATGCTTAACACTATGTCCAAACACCTGTTCACACAAAATAATCTCAACATCGGTCATTTCTAACCCCAAAATTGAATTGAAATAAGTGATAGAGATAGGCAACACAGCCTTTTCCTGTTAAGAACTGCTTGTACCTAAGTCAAGTTTTTGCAAAAAGAAAATGACAAGATGTATTTTAGCAAAATGGAATTACTTAAGGCAAGAAAATTTCCAAGTCAGACCTCTTTAGCCTTTAGTCACATCAAGGCCTGAGTTTTAAAATGCTCTTCTTTATTTTATCCTCTTTTGATCAAGAATTTCTTTGGGAATTTGATGATCACTAAAGAGTACTTTTCTTCTGCATGGACTTTATTTTCACCTTGCTTGAGCTAGGAGCCTCATCTTTGGGGTGAGCTAGTTTTCAGGTCCATATTACTAGGCTCTAATCATCCACAAAGGAATAAATCTTCTTCTGCAAGGCTTCAATTAGGATTTATACATGGCTGGTTGTTGTTTACAAGCCTTTAAGATCCAGATGCTGTTGGACAAATGGCAATGCTTGGGTGTCATTAGACAAACACCATCACAGGGGGTTTCACCAGGCTATTGTATAAGAACTCTGTTTCAGTAATTTTATATTATAAGGATGTTAGTAGAGCCAGGCTGAATGGGAAGAAATGCTTGACAGGTAAAAAACTTCTTTGTGGAGTGTAAAAATTTTTAAATACTCAAGTTAGTATTTCAGATATGTCTATAGTAGTTTCAATTATTTCTTCAAAGTACATGACAAACATGTTGTTCATGAGGGGTTAAATGTTTTGTACAGAGTTGAGTGATGCAATAAAAGAAACATTTAATTAAACAGGAAATAAACAATAGAAAGGAGAACAACTAGTCTGGTTTGTAGTATAGAGTATAACCCGAAGCTAATACTTTTTTGGGGGAGCTCTGGTAGTATAGTGGCTAAGGCACTTGACTGCTAACCAGAAGGCTGGCGGTTAAAACCCACCAGTCACTCCTCAAAAGGAAGATGGGGC